GAGATTCCATGGAGGTAATAAAGGGGGGGGGTTAGACGTATTTGGGGTAATGGTCAACTTAGATTAAAATGGCAAAGTTATTTGACTGAAAGAGGTGTGAGATATGTTGCTTTTCCTAAAGATTTGAGTATTCGTTGGAATAGTACTTATAAATTACTTAAAGTTGTTCTTAGATATAAAGAACATTTTCCTGCTTTTTTAAAAGAACATGATAACTATATTATAAACGCGGCTGAGATCGACACTTGCGAAAAAATTTGTAATGTTTTGATATATTTTTTTAATGCTACTGAAACTTTTAGTCATGTTTATAAACCTACCGCAAACCAATTTATTACACAAGCTGTTAATCTCGCTGATGCTTTTAAAGAATTTCAAAATGCCGTTTTCGTTCATTATTTTTGTGATCATATGAAGGAAAAGTTTTTAAAATATTATGCGCATATTCCCCATATTTATGGTATTGCATTTATTCTCGATCCTCGTTATAGACTTGCTAATTTGGAAGATTGTTTCAACTTCTATTATCTTGCGTTTTTCGGTGAATTTCCAATGTATGAGGATAACCCCATAGATCCGAAAACGGAATACAACGAGGTTAGTACTTTATTTTATGCCTTATTTAATGAGTTTCGTGCACAATATAGCAACGCTCCCCCTCCCCCGTCACGAACATCTTCATCTAAAGGAAAATCGATTTTTAAATCTGCATTTGGCAATCTTATGAAAAAAACTAAAACAACTCACGTCACTGAACAAAGCGCATTGAATGAGATTACTTTGTATTTAACATATGAAGTTGATTTTGAAGAAAATGATGACTTTGACGTTCTAGACTGGTGGAAGTCAAAAGAAAGAACGTTCCCGATTTTAGCACGGATGGCTAAGCAAGTACTATCAATGCCGGTTTCAACAGTTGCGGTGGAACAAGAATTTAGTTCGGCCGGCAACGTCCTAACGGCATCTAGATCGAGATTGAGCGCGGAGTCTCTTGAGACGCTTATATGCTACCACGATTGGTTGAAGGCCGCACGTAGAACTCAAGAATTGAGCATCACCCCCTCCCAAGATTTTATGGATGACTCAACAACCGATGGTGGCTCTACCTATGCCGGAGATTCCGATTGATTAGTATTTTAGAATTTAGTACAAAATGTATTTTATAGCACTTGTCAAATTTATTTATACTTGTACTTCATATTTCAAAATTGTAAACTTGTACTTCATATTTCAAAATTGTAAATTTGTAGTTGTAGTTCAAATTAATTTGTAAACTTGTACTTCATATTTCAAATAAATATGTGTTCACTTTTTCATATGTAGCACTTCTCAAATTAATTAATTGGTTACAATCTAACGACTTAAAATTATTTTTCTAAAATATAAAGCCGGTTTTTAAATTAAAAATACATTTAGAATATGTAATTTGTTTAAATACTTATACACCTATTTTGTAACATTTGTTTTAGTTTTACTTAATTCATTAAATTAATTAATTTATTTTACAATATGTGTATAACTTAAAAAAAAAAAAAAATCAAAGCTCCCAAACGGCTATATAGCCGTTGGGGCTATGGGTGGGGGGCAGGGGGGTCCCGGGGGTGGTGGTGTGGGGAGTGGGGTTCAAAAACACCTATAAATACATCTATTTTCTAACATTTTTCTACACCTTTTCTCCAATTCTTCTCAAACTCTTCTCCATCTTCATCTTCTCTTATTATCCTACATTCCTACTTAATTACTTATACTGTTATACATATACCATTTTAAATATGGAAAGTACATCTTCCCTTATGCAAAACAATTTTGACAAGTAGAAGGACCCGAAGACCGGACTGTGGTGGGCAACTTGCAGGTGGTGCAAGAAAAACTGTTGCTTGGGGCGTTCATACGGATACGGGATGCCAATAAAACATATGAAGTCCTGTGACAAAGGGAAAACAACAACCAACGGTGGCGGAAATCCCAATTGATATTCATTACAATTTACAAAATGTATTTCGTATTGTTATTTTTTTCTCAATTCTCAAATGTAGTTCTTATTTCAAATAAATGCACTTGAACTTTGTTTTTAATAGCAATTTGTATAATATATAATTAATAAAAAAAAAAATTATTGGCCCGGCCCGGCCCGGCGGGTGGCCCGACCCGTGACCCGGGCGGGTGACCCGGCCCGAACCGGAACCGGTCATTGACCGGGCCGGTCCCGGGCCTACCCTTATAGGACCCGAGGCCCGACCGGGCCTTGACCCGGCCCGGGCCCGACCCGGCCCGGGTCCATGCCTACCGCTAGCTCCACGCCTCCACCCCTGTCTAAAGTTGAGATATCCTACGTATTATTTATTTCTGATTTGGAGATTAATGATGGCTCGATGAAGTAGACATATTTGGCTATATAGTTGAAATAACGACTAAAACATGTAAAACTATCATAACAAATGTTTCAGTAGAAACAAGATAAAACTTAAATAACTGGAGAATAAAGTTCACACAAGTTCTCAATAACTTATAAGGACATACTGAATTGAGACATGTACTACGATTGAGAATAAAGTTGACATAACTCAGCTTATTGGTTTGAGATCAAGTCAAGTTTGATTTTTCATTCAAAGAAATCTGCAAGACATCAACCAACATTTATGCGTTTTTTTATGTAACTTATACCCAATTATGACTATTTTAGCTAATGGTTAACAAAAAGAAGCAACGAAATAAAAGATTAATAACATAACAGTGTTACAATATATACTATGCAGCCAATGGCTTTGAGTGGAGATGTATCCTTCATTTCTTTGATGCCAAGGTCCCCGTCTATTTGACAGCGACACACCGCGGCCACAATGACACGCCACCAGCATCGGTCATTACCGCCAGCTATTGCTGCCAGAGTGCCAGTGACCACCCCGCTCCGACCAACGCCACCTCCTGCAAGGCTGCAACACCAGTCCACACCTGCCCCAACTGCCCAGCCCTCTACCCACCCCGGCCCCTCCCAAGCTGCTAGACTCAGCGTTGACCCCACCCCCTGCCCCCATCGGCCAAAGCTAGCCATGTCCCCACCCGCCCAGCCCCCAGCGGCCATTTTGTCCCATGTCCCTCGGTAACCCTAAGCTCCGCCTCACCCCCATCCTGTAACCCTAGCCACCCACCTCACCCCATCGTGTAACCCTAGCCGCCCACCTCACCCCATCGTGTAACCCTAGCCGCCCACCTCACCCCATCCTGTAACCCTAGCCACCCACCACACCTCATCCTGTAATCCTAACCAACTTTTACAGTACACAATTTTTACTATTATACACATTTTATATAGCCCTCTAAAAGTATAAGTGAACGCAAAGACAAACACGTTGTGATTAACTTTCTTTGGACATGCCCCGCACACTAGCATACCAGCTCCACACGTCAATTAATAATACAAATAGTGAAACTGGCTTTGTTTGCCTTGACCTTCCTTCTCCATCAGAAATCATATTCATCTCAATCTGCAGCTTATAAGAAGGCATCCTGGCTAGTTTTCACATATGGGGACAATAAACAAGTCTGTTTATAATGAGCTTATAAATAGTACAACACAATCTATTATCTCACTCTTCCTCAACAATTCCTCTCATATAAAACTCTTCTGTAAAACAAACAAATTAAAATTAATTGACATCTGAGGAAGACTAAACAAATCAAGGTCTGTTGCCAATTTGTGCAAGAGAAGCTTGTGTACAAAGATATGGTTAGACCTTCAGTCTTTATTAGTTGTAATGGACCAACTTGCCAAGTTCAACTTTCCAAGACCCTTAGGTGGACACTCCACACATAGCATAAGATTAGGTTTAGTAGTTAACTCACTAATATTCTGCAGCTCATAGGTCAAATGACAATTCCGATTAGGAGCAATTCTTCTAAAGTACCAGTAATTACTCGGGGCTCTTTAGTAAAACTTTTAAAAAATACATGCTAAAACTTCACAGTATTGGTTGATTAAGTCTTATATACAAGAAGAAAATACAATAATCCACACTAACTAGAATAATCCCCAAACCAAATGAATCCTAATTTCTTATATCCAAAATGAAGCATCATTTGGTTCAAGATCAACGTTGAAAAAGTATTTATTAAATAAAGGTTCATAAGTTCTATTTTAATCTCATAATGACCTAATTTTTACTTTTAAGTTTTAATCTTTAACATTTAACAGAGATCGAGTAACTCATGGAGTACTATGACTCATTGAGCAGGTAAAAACTGCAGGTACTCGCCTAGTAGCTCAGTTATTTGAATAGGACCAAGTAGGTGAACAACTCGCCAAGGGTCTTGGTTAAGTAGCAAGTACTCGATAAGTACTCCCTGATTCAATAAGAGAACAAGAAACAACGATGAGAACTGACAGAACACTAGATGCACATCAAAAGCTTAGACATTTAAGGTACCCATAAAAAGAAAAAAAAAATGTATGGCAGTAATTGGTTGGCTAGGGCCAGACTCCCCACTATAATTCTTCTACTGATGAAAATTAGCTATTTTGAAACACTTACGGGTTACCAAATGTGCCTTCAGAGGGCTACGCCATAAAGGGCTGCTGAAAAACGAACTATTCTCTTGTAATCTACTTCAAACACAACTTGTGCATATGAAAACAGTTTTGGTGATAATCCACAATCAAACACCTTAAAGGAATTAAGCGAACCCAGTGTTGAGGTACAAATGAGCTACTGCAATTGGCTACCCAACAGCATCGCTGCAGGAGTGCAAGATCTGTAAACCCCATCTATGCCATCTATGGTTGCAAGATCTTTAAAACCATTTCACCGGACAAAGATTACTATGCAATCGTTAAACTACATCTTTTATCTTAGCTTCCTCTTTGAAAAAAAACCTTTGCACTTTTTGTTTGTTCTTTAAATATTTATGTTGCATTTTGCTTGTTATACTAGGTATTAAATTGCATATTAAAAATAAATCAAAATACCACTGAGTTACCCCTAAATTATCCAAATAAGACTCATAAAAGGGATTGGTATAATATAATGTCAAACAGAATAACTTCTGTTTAGGTACTCTGCCCAAAGGAATCAAGTACACTGCAAGAAATATACTCCTTGAATAGTTTCCAACCCAAAGACATTCAGATCACAACTTACAAAAACAAAACATTAGAAGCATTTAAAACCCTAATAAGAGAATGTATACAAAACTGCAAATAGAAATAGAAACCAGTAAAATTCGTCTATTTTACCTAAAAACGTGACCTTTTATTTACAGTAGCGATCAGCTTTCTTCTTGACCCGATCATCAAGGGCTTCTTCAACGGACTTTGCTTTAGCATTGGGGTCGTAGGCGAACTTCTTAGCTTCAACAGGGAACAATTCGTCGTACTTCATCTTCTTGGCCGCGTCAATGGTGTAAATGTTGGTATCCCCTCCATCCGGACATGAACCCGAACCCAGTTCCGAAGCGGCGATGGCCGCGTCGCCTGACAATGGCTCGTCGGAAACGAAATCATCTGCTGAGGACTTCTTTTTCTTCTTCTTTTTCTTTTCGATAGCCTTGGTGCGTATTGCCAGGTCGCCTCCCTTGAAGGCTAGCCTACCTCCTTTCGCTCTCTCGTACGGATCCGACATCAAATACCCACAAGTGGTCAACTAAGATGTCCGAAGCTGCAGAGTTATGCCCCAAACTGTTCTTTAGGTCTTCAGCGTGTTTGGTTCAAAGGAGATGACATGATTTTAATCGGTGGCACGGAAGATTGAGTTTATTAGAAGAAAAAATATTACTCCTTATTACAATGATGTGATTTGAACCGATAATTCTATTTTGGGAGTGACACAATGATGTTATCTAATGACAAAGTGCTTAAAATAAACTAACTTAAATAAACACAGGGTAAGTATTTTAGAGACAAACTACCGATATATTATTATCCATGTGCCCTCCATTATATATTTATATTTAGGTTTGTATATCTTTTAGTCCCTGCAAATATAGTACATTTTGTTTTACATCCTTGTAAAAAAAATTGTTTTCCATCCTTGAAATTTATGTTTGTTTTCTTTTTAGTTCATCAACTATGATAGCAACCTCTGTTTGACCTCAAAATATCAAAATAATCCCGACTAATAGGTTTCTTCTAGTTCTTTGTCATGTTAATAAAAAATATATAATTTAATTCTTAGAAGGTTTTTAGCACGTAGTATATATTTAATAAATGTGAATAATTAGTTTTACATTATTTTAATTCTCATACTAGCATCACATAAAAATTATAAAAGGATAAATTTAAATGTTTATAGTAGATTTTATGCAACTCAAAATAACTTTTTTTTCAAGTATAATGATTTCGGAGTTAGAAATGGACTAAAAACAAAATGGTGCATATTACATGGAGGAAAATCAAAAGAATTACTTTAGAGGAACCTAAAACAAAGTGTCATATTTATAAGGACTAAATATGTATCCATGCCCCTTATATTTAACGTTGAACACATTAAAAACGAAAAAAAATCATGGTGATAATTGATAATGATTTAGGTCCCGCGGATCCGGAGTATCTGCCTTGCTTTAGAGCAAGCCACGGTGCCCGGCCATTTGGATTCGTGCGATCAAATCTTCAACGGCCAGAGATCTCAGGGTCTACATCTTGAGGCTTCATCTTCCCCGTGCAACGGCAGAGGATCTCAATCCAGGTCCTGCGGTGATACTGTCCATTATAGGACTGAGTCGACATTATTTTTGCTAAAACAAAATGTACTACACTAGGACTAAAACCACACTCCTTGTATTCAAATCAATAAAATATTCTCAAATATAAATATTTAGAGCCCGTTTGGAGAACTCTGTTTTCGGCTTATCAGGCTTATCAGCCAGCTTTTTCACCAAACACGTAACTTTTACTTTCGCGCGCTGAATTGTGTAATAAGCCGAAAAAGTAAGGTTGGAGTTACTTTTCTGGCTGTATTGCCTGAAGTTACTGTAGAGGACCATTTTAGCTATTTTTACATATAATTTTTTCTTTAATTTATTAATAAAATATATTTTTAAAATATTTTTTTCTTAAATCAGCAGAGTCAGCCAAAACAGTCACTCCAGCCAGAATATCATAAATTTCAGCAGAATCAGCCAAAACAGCCGATTTTGGTGCTACCAAACGGGCTCTTAGTAATTTACTCCTGGTTCCAAAATTTAAACAGTGGTGAATTGAACCCTTCCTTCGCATTCGGATTCAGCGTTACGGCGGCATCCAAAATCAGCCGTGAAATGGTGAAAGCAACATAGTTAATACGGAGTATAACCCAAAAACAAGATAAATCAATGTTACGGCACATATGCGAACTAGAAGAAAACTGGCCATCACAACTCACAAGCAACATTTAAACATTACACAAGTCAGAAGCCAATGATCGAAGTGATTCAAAAATTCAGTTCAAATGGTGAAATGCAACCATGTCTTTGTCAATTGTAATTGGAGATATAAAGCAAATTGATGTTAGGGTTCATCAAATACGAAAAACACTTCTGCAAAACCAGCTCAAGAGATAAATTAGTCACCCCCCTGAGAAGTAACAAGAACAAATGATGTAGAGAGATGCAAATTGCATCAATGAAGAAAAAGCCACATATTCTACTGCTCAGTACTTGTTTTGTAGCTCTCATACATATTAGGCAGCTTATCCTTGTATGGTATCAGATAACGCGACAAAAACTTTGATTCAGTAAAAAATAGGGCTGTAAAGAGAGAGCACACTTTCAGCTGATGTTCTTCAAGAGTTTTCAACACTTGACTCCTAGGGATGGTCTTCTTCTCCAAACTAGACAGTAGAAGCATGGGGCGATCAGCCAGGTAATGAGGTCCATAACCAAGCTTTTTCATTAAAAAATTTAGTTTCTTCCTCAGCCTGGCCTCAGATAGCATTAAGCAACTAGGTTGTCTTTGCACCAAATTGGAAATATCAGATTTACTCCACCCTAAGCTCCTCAAGATTTCGAATTTCTTGTTCACTGCTGAGATGGTCATATGAGATGCCACACTCAACCCACAGTAAAACATTGATGAACTTCTGGGTATCCCAATCTCATTTTCCACCATGCTTACCATCTTGCAAGACCTGTCTGGATTTTTTGTTAAATAATTCGGTCTTGTGACTAGAAACCATTGAATTTTATCCTCTGGAATACCAGAATCCCGCAGCACCCGTACATTCTCTTCCATAAGTTTGAGTCTTCCGAATGAAAGCAACCGACCAGACCTCTTCAGAGCTTTCACAGCATTCTTATGTCCACCGGACGCTTGTTTAACAAAGTTTATGATAGGTCTCAAATGAGTCTCTAGTCCTCTAAAAAGAAAAGAAGCATCTCTCACAATGAAATTGGCAAGATCTGGCCCGGATAGCCCGAGTTCTTGCAGGCACTGAACTTTTGGGTGAATGATTTTGTCAGGGTCAACTAATAGCAATCTCGGATGCTTAGAGACAGCAGCCTTAATGTGGGTCAGCTCCATACCTATCCCTTTTAGATAATCAACAACTAAAGCAGGACTGGATTGACATTTACGCTTGGTTACCTTGGAAACTGCGGAGATAGCATCGTCTTGGGAGAAGTTGAGTGAGCCTTTGAGATAGTCCACCAAAAAATGCTTCTCCAACCCACAGGTTTCTGCTTCTTCTGCGACTTTCGAGGTGCTAGAGTAGTTAAGCGCCGCAGACATCCTCAAGCTACCGTCATAGAAAAAGCATGAATGCCCTCGCTGCCAGGTGCGATTTGCTTCGCGACCAGGAACTCCAAGTAATCGAGCAAACGATATTCCAGCCTTTCCAACCATTGAAACCCTAAAACCTTGCCCTTCTGTTAATGTTACCAATTTAGCGATAGGAAGAGGACATGCATTTGGTGAGCTTTGCACAGGCGTTTTGTCGAACACCCTGCGTGCGAAAAATTCACAGTTCCCGGTTCAATTTAGAAGAGTTCCCAATGAGACAATGAGACATTCTAAAGAGTAGGGTGGTCATTTGGGTTTAGTTTAACGGGAACTCAATAAACTAAACCAAGCCAATTTATTTTGAGTTTGATAATATTTCTTCCAAACTCTATTAATTCAAATCGAATTGAAAAGAAAGCTCGAATCCATCTAGAGAATTCAATAAAACTTTAATAAGTCACATTTCTCTTTTTGAAAAGAAATATGTAGTTCACAATATTTCATTTTACTATACTCAAATCTCAACCACAATATTTACCTTTTCAACTATTTTATTAAAAATAGTGTCAAAACCAAAGGAGCACATAAAATGGAAAGGAGGTAGTAAAATATAATAAATTCAAATTAAACGGAACCAAACTGGAAAATAGTACGATATTAGGGAAAACTGTCAAATAGGTCCTCGAGCTTTCATAAAAAAGTCAATTAAGTCCTTATATAGGAGACTCTGTCCGGTCATCGCGATTTGGAGTGGTTCCCGGTGGATTTTTTTGATGAAATTTTTTGAGCATCTTATTCATCAAGTCTAGTTTACTCATACCAAATTTCAGCTAAAAATTTAATCGAGAGCGCATTCAAATTAATTCGAGAACGCAAAAATGCGCAGTTATCTTCAAAAATTAATTTGAATGTGTTCCCGATTGAATTTTTAGCTGAAATTTGGTATGAGTAAACTAGACTTGGTGAATAAGATGCTAAAAAAATTTCATCAAAAAATTCCATCGCGAACTGCCCCAAATCGCGACGGTCGGACAGAACCTCCTATAGAAGGACTTAATTGACCTTTTTATGAAAGTTCGAGGACCTATTTGACAGTTTTCCCTACGATATTATGTTTTTTGTTTGATATTAATTCTTCCAATTCATTTCCAAATGAACCAAACTGAAACCGATAAAAATCGAACCGAAAACAAATATACTCACCCCGTAAAGAGTATAAAGAACTTGTACGTTGACCAGAAAGCTAAGTGTGCCCGCGGCGGAAACTACTCGTCACTATAGACTCCGATAAAGCAAAAGAAGTGAAGGGAAAATGTTTAGTGTACACCTTTTTATGTATATCATTCGCACACACTTTATGTGCCTAGATAGACAAAGTTCTTTGTATTTTAAATCGTGTTTTGAAACTAGCTTAATGAGCTCATACATGATATAAATCATGTACCATTGATGTTATTGTATTGGAAGGTCTCAACAATGGACACATTAACATTTTGAATGTTTCTTCATCTTGCAAGATGTTTTAACTTTTAAGTCACTTGCATTAACATTTGGGAAAATGGAAACTAATAATCCAACCTTTTAGCGGTCTTCTTTTAATAGTCCGACCTTTTTGTTATTCATGAATAATCCAACCTTTGCACCTCATCTTCATTCATTGGTCCCTGACCGGTTGATGACCAGCTATTCCGAGTTATTTTCTCATCTCTGCAAACTATTATGCCATAAATTCCACCTTTTCACAAAGATAATATTTTGCAAAGATAAGAAAATAACTTGGAATAGCAGGTCATCAACCGGTCAGGGACCAGTGAATGAAGATGAGGTGCAAAGGTTGGATTATTCATGAATAATGAAAAGGTGGGACTATTAAAAGAAGACCGCTAAAAGGTTGGATTATTAGTTTCCATTTTCCCTTAACATTTTGAATGTTTCTTCATCTTGCAAGATGTTTTAAGTCACTTGCATTGATCAATAATAAAAGTACCTCAAATATAAAGTTTTATACTACATATTAATTTTCGTTATTTTGTTGATTTTGTAGGATAAAACTCTAAACCTTGATAGGTTTTTTTCCCCAAAGATCAATAAAGTGGAAGCTTAATATTACGATCACTAACTATATGACTGTCATGACTTCAATGATAATACTCATTGTGTCATAAGTTAATTGTTAGGCGGGAGATCAATAGTCTTATCTTGTTGATCAACAATACCCTTTAAACCATGTAGGCATATTAGCAGTTTTCTAACATGTTTTTTAATTGGTTATGCAGATATAAAACTCGAATGTCATATTGTCACCTATTGTGATGGAATAAAATAATTGGAGATGGGATTGTAGATTATTAAAGGACTATGATGTCGAGCCATTTGAAAGTAGAATAACATATTCAATATCGTAATGTTTTATGACATTATTAGATTTATTAGATTTGATATCAAGGATGGAGATAACATGATCATTGAGGTAACTGAATCCATTCATGATTTGAATATCTCAAAATCAACTACATAACTAGACATAAGATTGTAATTTCTTGTAATAATGATAAGTTATTGATATGATGTATATCATATATTTTGCTATTTTAGTGGTGCAATAAATCCGGTGATTATTGTTTTACTAGAATGACGTGAATGACATATTAATTGATTATCTCACAAAATGATTGTCAAATTCATAAAAGCTATACGAACAAATAAAGTATTTATTCACTTATAATAATATACAACAATCTCATGAAGATCATTGAAACAAACTTTGGTTGTCACACCATTAAATCATCCAAAGTTGAATCTCTTTTGAGCCAGTGAGGAGCGTGCATGGTTGTGACAAATATACAAAATGAATGCTATATAAAAATGTTTACATATCATTGTGACATGTTTAACTCAAATTAAAGGAGATTATATCAAAGGTGTAGAATGAACCCTCATACCAAAACATTCTCTACATATATGACTTGAAGAAATAATGAATGGGCACAACAAAGAAAATCAAATTCAACAACAATACCGCTAATTTATTTATAACTTACACAAGATTGCCATTTAAGGCCTTTGAGATAGATATTAAATTAAAGTCGGAGTATTATACACACTTTTCCCCTTCTTTCATATTTTTATTCCATTAATTTCCAATGACAAGGTTTTTAATACTGTGATACATCAAAATAAAATGTGATTAAAAATTGTAGCTTTTTTCTTAGCTCTGATTATAATAGTCCATTCTTTATGAAGAGGCAAGTAGGCAACAATCCCAACAAATGACTGTAAATAGTAAGGACAAACATTCTGTGGGAAAATTGTATTAAAAATTGCATTAAATGACTATTCTCGGGCAATATTTTGAGTGGGGTCCACTTCCGATTTGTAAGGTGTTCAATTCGATATGTGGTACACTCAAAATGAATAATGGGTAAATGAGAAATTGATTCTCGAAATTCACTTGTTGAGAGGGAGAAGTTGGAAATTTCCGAAGGTAGAACTAAACGTAGCACTACCGTCGGTTAATGGTCGTTCTAACCTCTCTTCATACTGCTAGAGTTTCAAACGTTGTCTAACGTTTAGAAACTGTAAAAAGTGATTAAAATATGGTTTAATCACATGGTTAATGGCCTGAAACGTTCAAAACCATTGCAACACATAAGTGTGTGTTTAATGGGTGGTTTCGCACAATAAGTGTGATGTTGAATGCATATTTAATACAAAGGTTCATCCTCCCCTATAAAAGATTGGCAACAGCTTTTGGAGTCAGACAACGTACACACACAACAAAAGAGTACACACGACTTGAGCACACAAAATACTCGTTGCATAGTCTTGAAAGAAAAACTCTGCCAAACTTCCGATAAAACTTCCCAAGTTCTACCCTTTGTTCCAGTTTGCCGTTGCAACATATTGAGTGCTCAATACGGTTGTTCGCCAGTCATCGTATCTTGGGAAACTGACACTGCAACGCTCCTAGCACCGTGGGAGGTAGTGAATTAATTTTAAGGATAGTGTGCGTTGGACACGCTTTGATTGAACCTGTGCCAGTTCTTTGTCCAGTTCCTTCAACCATTTCTTAATTTTTTAAATTTCTTAATTCTTTTTAATTTGGAAAAACAAGGGAAACATGTATAGTTTCCCCAACACATTCTAACTTGATCATCTTTAGAATAAAATAACATAGTTATCATCACCTTTAGGCCCTATCGTGAAATCAAGTTGTATCAATTCGGGAGCTGAAAGATAGATGAAATATCAATTCGGGACCTGAGAGATGAAATGTATCGGTAAAGGACCCGGTTTTTATACACACTTTTCCCCTTCTTTCATATTTTTATTCCATTAATTTCTAATGACAAGGTTTTTAATATTGTGATGCATCAAAATAAAATATGATTAGAAATTGTAGCTTTTTTATTAGCTCTGATTATAATAGTCCATTCTTTCTGAAGAGGCAAGTAGGCAACAATCCCAACAAATGACTGTAAATAGTAAGGACAAACATTCTGTTGGAAAATTGTATTAAAAATTGTATCAAATGACTATTTCCGGACAATATTTTGAGTGGGGTCCACTTCCGATTTAGGTCGGGTCAAATTGGTTTAAGACTTTCCTCATTGTAAGGTGTTCAATTCGATATGTGGTACACTCAAAATGGATAACGGGTAAATGAGAAATTGATTCTCGAAATTCACTTGTTGAGAGGGAGAAGTTGGAAATTTCCGAAGGTAGAACTAAACGTAGCACTACCGTCGGTTAATGGTCGTTCTAACCTCTCTTCATAAGTGTGATGTTGAATGCATATTTAATACAAAGGTTCATCCTCCCCTATAAAAGATTGGCAACAGCTTTTGGAGTCAGACAATGTACACACACAACAAAAGAGTACACACGACTTGAGCACACAAAATACTCGTTGCATAGTCTTGAAAGAAAAACTCTGCCAAACTTCTGATAAAACTTCCCAAGTTCTACCCTTTGTTCCAGTTTGCCGTTGCAACATATTGAGTGCTCAATACGGTTGTTCGTCAGTTATCGTATCTTGGGAAACTGACACTACAACGCTCCTAGCACCGTGGGAGGTAGTGAATTAATTTTAAGGATAGTGTGCGTTGCACACGCTTTGATTGAACATGTGCGAGTTCTTTGTCCAGTTCCTTCAACCATTTTCTTAATTTTCTTAATTTCTTAATTCGTTTTAATTTCGGAAAAACAAAGGAAATCAGAGTTTCCCCAACACATTCTAACTTGATCATCTTTAGAATAAAATAAGATAGTTATCATCACCTTTAGGCCCTATCCTGAAATTATATTTTATCAATTCGGGAGCTGAAAGATAGATGAATTATCAATTCGGGACCTGAAAGATGAAATGTATCGATAGAGGACCCGGATGATGAAAAACTATCAATCTAGGACCTAACATTTCATAAGTTTTTTTTTTAATTTTTTATTAATTCCATTGCTAATATTTCGTGAATTTTCCTTCACAAAAGTTTATTAGTTTAATAAAACTAAATATTACTTAAAATTTTTAATCATTAGAGTCCTAGATCGAGAGTTTTCAATCATTAGAGTCCTAGATTGAAGATTTTTCATCATTCGGGTCCTATATCGATACATTTCATCATTCAGGTCCTGAATTGATAATTTGTCTATCTTTCAGGTCCTGGAATGATAAAATTCCCAAAGTTTTTCATCATAACAAAAATAGTTTTTTTCAAAGAATAAGAATGTTTTCTTTTGGACTGTTTTCAGTCTCAGACCAGATAAGACTAGGCATTTGTAGTTATAAAATACACAAAGATCGAATATTTACCCACCAAACTAGTTCAGATCAAATCTAATCAAATCAGACCAGACTATCTGAGTAAAAAAAACATGCGGACACCCATGGAGGATAATACATTCTGGCTTATGAATGTAATTTTTTTTTTCATTTGTGAAGACAACAACGCAATTAAGAAATATATACAGTCTAATCTACCTCCAACATTCAATCTGATTTTTCCTGTTTCATAACAATTTTTCATTAAATGTGCAAAAATAGCTCTTTACATGTAATTCGCCCTCAGCTAGCAGCATCTTGGACGGGAGCAAGACTTTTAGTGACAATGAAGCTCATTCTTCATCGAAGCATCACCCTCCATCCCAATCCCATCTCAGCTACAGCAAGAACGAATCGCTCATACATATCATCATCAATCCATCGTGAAGAAGCTGAAAAGAGGAAGATAGAGTTGAGAGTATGCACAAACAGGACGTGCAGAAGACAGGGTTCTCTAGACTCCCTTCAAGTCCTGTCTGGAATCGCGCCGCCGCATGTCGCCGTCACCTCCTGCGGTTGCCTCGGAAAATGCGGCACCGGACCAAATCTCGTAGTCTTCCCCGGTGCCGTCTTTATCAAGCACTGCCACACCCCTGCTCGGGCTGCCGAAACGATGTCGTTCTTCTGCCTTGACCAGGATTATAATGACATTGAAAATGAATGCAGGAAGTGTTTGGAGGCACTAGAATTGAGGAAGGCAGCCGAGGATGAGATGGCTAAGGGTGATTTCTCCAATGCCTACCATTTACTCTCTCAGGTACATGCCATACATATCTAAAAAAATAATGAATTATCTTCCTTCCTTCTTTCCTGTATTCCTTTACATTGTTTTTAGTCATTTTGAATTGATGTACTGTGGCAGAATTTAAGCGCTACTAAAATCAATTGATGGGTAATTAATGCTTGTTTCTGTAAAGTGAAACAAAAAAACTCTATTTAGTAGTGTCATGTGTATGTGAGAAACAAGATGAGTATATGATGGAAATAGTACCGGAATTAGAATCTAGGTAAGGCAAATATATTATATTAAGAAAGCTTGGATTTTTTCTCCCAATTAAGTTTGATTATTTCTTTTGTTATTTATATGATGATAGTAGTTTAATGAGTGCATTTGGTCAAACATAGTTGGAGGTAATCATATTCGCGCAATGAGGAGGGTGTTACAATTTAGTTGCAGCATGTGAATGCATTGGCTTATTTCTCTATACGCTTAAAGGCTAGTAAAGCAACCTCCATCAAAATAGTAAATATATTCGAAATATTGAATGAGTTTTTTGTTAGCATATCCATCAATAAGAACATATAATTACAATTTGAACAATTAGAGAGATTCAAAGACCCTTTGTGCTAGAAACGTGGTCAAACCAGTAATCACATCGTACATTGAAATATATGGAGTTTCTTTAATTCAATGAATCGTGTTTGCTAATCGACCAATATTGTTGGCAATCAGTTTGATCATAACTTATTCTGACATTTTACTTGATTTCATCATCAATGTATAATATCCATCTGTATTTAGTATTTTTCCAGAACCAAATTTGGACAAACTGACTTGTAATGACTCAGATGTCAATGGAGATAATCACTGTTGTTTACCTCTTTGAGTTTTTATTCAACCTTATTTTATAGTAGTATACTTTAGCCTCCGGTGTTGATCGATTGTTTTTTACCTCTTTGAGTTTTTATTCAACCTTATTTTATAGTAGTATACTTTAGCCTCCGGTGTTAATCGATTGTACTCCAATTGATTTACAGAACATATTTGTGTTAATAATCAGATTGAATAAGCTCAGAGGTTACAGTTATCTTGTGGATGATTGAGTGACTTGAGTCAACAAACAGGAGTGGTGCAGAGGGTCACTGATTTGAAGTTTTATCTGTTCTGCAGGCTATTGATCTAAAACCATTTGGTGGCATCCATATCTCGTATAGAAACAGGTAGTTATTTAAATCAGCTCTTTTGCATTCAATGGTGAGATCAAGAAATAATTACCCCAAATATGACTAAAAAATAGCTACTCTCCTTAAGCAAGACTAAGTAATATTGTGTATCTATTTGGTCCTCAGATAAAGAAGATTACCTTGTAGTTATTCCTAAAGTAATATGTACTCAGTCATACAATTATTGAGAAAAAAAATATTGGTTCTCATAGTTCAGGAAATTTCTCTTATATCAAATATGCTTGCAATAAAATGCAAAATATGTCATTCTCTGTAATACTACATCCGCCCCCCCTAACATTGGTACAAGAGAAGGTGGTGGGAATTCTAAGAAAAGTGAGTTTTTGTGGTTAATATTGAGTTGATAAAGGGAGAATAAGGTAACACCGATTTAGAACCACACGAATGTTATCAAATTTGGTATGGGACAATCCTGTGGGACAGATAAAAAGGAAAAACAGGATAATCTTAGCGGGACGGAAGGAGCAATAAGTATGGATTGTATTTGATAAATGGCTTTAACGTAAATCTCAATTCACCTTATGTTGTTATTACTCTGAACAATTGTTTTTACATATTCAGGTCAGTTGCTAGGCTCACAATGGGAGACTCAGCAGAAGCACTTCTGGATGCTAATGAGGCTCTTAGTATCGCTCCAAGTTATTCAGATGTAAGTTTCTTATTGCTACGGCTATTAAGTCACTTTTGGGTTTTCTTTTCCCCATTTGTTACTAAGAGACAGAATTAATAGGCAGCTTAGTTACTTACCTAAATTGATAACCGCAGTTCTGATTTGGTCCTTTAAGTCTACACTTGGTGCTATGTTTGCATTTGGATTATTGTTCATAATAAGACTAGAACATAACTGCTTTGGCTACTGTTAGGAATCTGCCTATTTAGTATTTTAATAGGGTATTTGAAAGGAGAAATAAAGGGGCTGGGGGTCAATTTAGTAATTACTTTAGGTATTTTAGTCCCTGTGTGGACTTAATGCTATAAATAGGAAGGGGGGTAGCTTAATAAAAGAGACTGATATTTTGATTATCTGTTGCCTTGTTGCCTAAGTCCCGGTTGCCTTTGTTGCCTACGGTTTATCTTCTTCCTTCAATAAACACTCGTTCCCTATCCTTTATCAGATCCGTACGTGTTTGTTTACTGTATTGCTCAGATCGTTGATAGGTACCTAACATTGGTATCAGAGCATCACCGCTCCTGGAGATCGGATTTGAAGTGTGACTACTGCAGAGTTTTCGTTTCAGGGTTAAGACCGGATCTAAAATGGAAAATCGCTTTGATGCGTGGACCGCGTGGCAACAGGAGATGAGGGCGATGATCACAAACTTCGCCACAACGATGAAGGAACAAATTCAGAGCAACATCGAAGCATCTATAGCAGCGATAATGGAACAAGTTCCCTCCAGGAGAAATTCACGATCATCGCATCGGCGGGCTTCTAACAGTTCGCAGATGCGAACTAAGTCTCCCAGTGGATCGCGAACCTCATCATCCGCCAACAGTTCACTACCAAGGCTGACACGATCGAGAGAAGAAGCTTCACGTTCGCAGATATCATCGCAAACTGCTTCATCGCAAGTGGTTTCTTCTCAGTCACGAACAACTCCTCATAATTCATCGCTAAAATCCTCGCAAACAGCTTCGCCCAGTTCACGACCACGAATGACTTCTTATTCTCACTCGCGAACAGATTCTCCCAGTTCGCACTCGCGAACAGTCTCTTCCAGTCCGACCTTGCTGTCTGAGTCGCAGGAGTCAAGCAATCCACGGAAACCTCTCTCTGAGGATGCGTCCACAGAGAACTATGATGAACATAAGGAGAAGTTCACCATTGCAACTGGACCTGAAGCTAGCGCACTGGATAATGTTTCCCTTGCTATGGCTGTTGAGACTCACTTGTTTGCTCAGTCTCCTTCTAAAGGTCTTGAGTGCACTTGGTCCAGTAGGGGACCGGGGTCTCAATAAGTATGACTAGGAAAAGTGTGGCTCCAGTTCCTACGGGCACCCTTCCACGAGTCCAATTGATGAATGGAACATCTATGTCATCTCATTCGGCTTGGGGTGCAGTTGGTCTACTGATAAGTGGCAAGAAGACTGAGGGCATTTTTGTGAACCTGAACAGTGCATGGAAGGCTCTAGAAAATACAAATACTCCGGTGGGATCTTTGCAAGAAGAAAAGTTAATCTACGGAGAAGGGCTTCTACAAGTTAAAAGAGCTTATGAGTATACTCAAAAGTCAAAGCACTTCCCTTGGGTATGGTATCAAGTCAAGATAAACCAAGCGGGGGTGTCAACTCCTACATCTCAAGTGATGTACCTGAAAGGGACTAATGCTTCTAACCGATCAACTGAGGGGGCTGTTGAGATTCCACCAAAGTTTCAGGGTGATGCAAGTAGTCTAGAGCAAATGGGTCCATATGAAGAATCTATTCAGTGGTATGATATTGGTGGGAAGATGGATGCACGTTCATGGGAAGGGTTTCGGGTAAAGACTGGGGGTACCAAAGATAAAACCAGTGCTAGTGACTTTATGGATTTGACTGTGGTGGATGTTGAAGGACAGGGCCGAGCTCTTTTGGGTGCAGATATTGTCTTAGTCCTGAGTGCCTGGGAAAATGAAGGGGTAGGGATTGATCCACAAACTAATGCAATTGAAAGATCACTTGGTACTCACTCAAATGTCAAAGTTGGTATGGCAGTAAAGGGCTGCAAATTGGTACTCTTTGCAATGTGGGACTCATCTGGTCCCGGACTGAGATGGGCTAATGTGTTAGCTCTTGAGGGCATTGTGGAAGAAAAAGTTCATGCAATAAAGGACTCTGGAGCTGTTATCAAATTTAAATATCATGGTGATCCTTTTGGATTTGTTTCAGAATACCAGATAGGTGGAATTAGTGTGAAACTGGGCACTACTATTCAGGCTGCTATAACTGATGCCCCAAAAATAGAGTACCTCATTGATTTCTCATTAAAACCAGAAATTGTTAATGGCCTCGTAGTTGCCAGAAAGTTTCTGGATGGGTTGAACACTCCTTATGAATTTGATCAGCTGATCTTTCTCCAAACAGGAGAAAGATCAGCTGGAGGTACGACTAGAAGTGGCTAGCTTGCTTTGGGATCTCTTGGCTATACCCGAATTTGTAATCAATGTGGTTTTGCAACCGTTAGCCTTGGAATTTTTGAAGAGGTGGATTGATCAAAAGCTTGGTCAAAGTGGGGATGGTGATAGGGACAATGCAGAAATGGGTGTCCTTAAAAAGGTTATAGTTTGTTGGCTATGTGATCCCTTTAGAGATGAAACCTCTCAGATTTTTTCTATTTTAGGGGAGATACTGCTGAATTATGATGAAGATCTGGGTAACCAAGTTGCTGCGGTTCTCTATGATGTGGCAGCTGAAATTACTACAAGGGCAGCTGGATTTTATCTTGCAGAACCTTTATATGCTGATATTGGTTACAAGGAAGAGGCTTCAAGTGTAATTTCAGGGATTTTTCATTTCCAGTTTCTGCTCCTGTTTGCTGTGAAAGATGTGATGATGAAAGTGAAAGAAATGAAGCTCCTAGATCAGAAACCAAGGAGGTACTGGGAAGGAAGAGGTTCCAGGATGAAGAGGAAGTTCAAGATCAAGGCTGTGTCTTATTACCCACCTTGAGGGCAAGGTGGTTATTTAGGGGGGGGGGGAGTAATGTTAGGAATCAGCCTATTTAGTATTTTAATATGGTATTTGAAAGGAGAAATAAAGGGGCTGGGGGTCAATTTAGTAATTACTTTAGCTATTTTAGTCCCTGCGTGGACTTGATGCTATAAATAGGAAAGGGGGGTAGCTTAATAAAAGAGACTGATATTTTGATTATCTGTTGCCTTGTTGCCTAAGTCCCGGTTGCCTTTGTTGCCTACGGTTTATCTTCTTCCTTCAATAAACACTCGTTCCCTATCCTTTATCAGATCCGTACGTGTTTGTTTACTGTATTGCTCAGATCGTTGATAGGTACCTAACAGCTACTATGTTCTTGTTCATAAGATGCTATTTCTTTATTCATAGATTAAGGAAGTCATTAATTGAATAAACATTACTGCAAAGAGATCATTAAAAACTAAAAAGAAATATTATATTGGTGGTCATATCTAGGGAAACAGAATATGTTTCAGTCACATATAGTTAATTTTCCTGTTATGTTTCGACAGGTAGCACATAATCTATACTAATGAGTCAAATAAACATATACATACGGTTAACATACCCAATATGCCCTACTCAGAAGTAGGTTATAGGAGGGTGAGGTATACTCATATATGCATGATTTTAAAAGGCGTTTAGCCTTTACGCACTTGAGGCGCAAAGGCGGTCGGTAATAGCCTGGAAGGCTTAAACTTCACCTTCTGCTAACAAGGCTTACGCCTTAAATTTGCTGAGGCGTTGATGCGGACTGTGGGCGCAAGGCGTACACGAGGCGTTCGCCTCTAATTTTACGCAAGGTTGGGCTTTTTTTTAAAAAATATATCGGGTGCCTCAAATTTTCTCTCCTAAAATATAAAATACCTGGATATTTTATTGCTTACCCACAGCCTTAGGTCTTCCAAATTCCAATCGATGGTCTTTCACTCTTCTACGAGACTAGATATTAAAAAACTAGAAACAACGACTTGAAGAAGAGCTGCTGAAGCTCGGTACAGAGACTTCAGGAGTTGCTTCGCCGGTTCGTCTAAGCAATAATAAAATATCCCACCGCCCAACTTCTATAATTTCTTATAGTGTTTATTATTTAACTTTTTTATTTAACTTTTTAGTTATTTAAAGGTTTTATTTTGAGCTATTTAAAGTTATTAAATAGTATTAAATTTCGTCCAACCTTTCTGATCTTTATGTGTTTGTCATTTAACGTTACTAATGTAATTATTAAGCATTTTGTTTAATCTGTAAAGTTATCATATAAAACTATCATTTAACTTAATAATTTATTTATTTGTTTAATACTGCGCACTTTACTAGTTTACTTGACTTAAGATTTACATTTTAATTTGAAATATTATAGTTAAGTTCATTATAGTTTGGTTTTATTTTTATTTATTTATTAAAGTTGATTATCAATCATTATTTTTTTTTGTCTTGGAAGTTTAGTGTTTTTTATATTTCATTTTTATGCTATTTTGACTTGAATATTTTATTGTTATGTTCTTTTTACTCGTAATTTTGTTTAGTTGCATTATTCTTATGGATTATCTATACTATCTGATATGTTGTACGCTTTTAGACAATTAAATTTGAGGCTTACGCCTCGTTACGCCTCGAGGCTTACGCCTCGTGAGGCTATTGCCGAACGCCTCGGGGCTCGATTTCGCCTTTCAAAACCTTGCATATATGTATAAGGTATCCCATACATGTACTTCAAAAAGATTAACATGAGTACAAAATGCTAGGCTTTGCCAAATACTCGCTCTGTCCAAAAATAAGCCTTATTTGAGTGAAGTACAACTCTTTACAAAACTCACTCAACATACCGGGTTTTTTAAGAGTTGTGATAGTCATTTATACCATTTCTAATGTATTTCCAACATTGCTAGGAATATAGTTGACTAAAAATACCACATGCTTGACTTTGAGAGTTTGCGTGATATTTTTTACCGGACATGAAATTTACTTAAAAAATCAAGTTGACTAAAAACTGTACTTTTTTGGGTGGAAACAAAATCTTGAAACAATTTTTCTTTCAAAATGGAGGGAGTATTTGTGTGTGGATTTTAAGGGGATTATTTTTAGAAAAAATTCCACTGATATTACTCCTGGAAAAGTGATTGAACAAAAATGTGATATAGTAATTATTAGTCACTATAATTGTGTTCAAAGTATAGATAATAATACTAGGTCACTTTTGTTAGTAATACTATTCAGCGATGGTGTGATTTCATCCGACGGACCTTGTCTCCCAAGCGAAGGTGGACTGTTTGGTCGGCAATGGCGGTTGTGCGGCTCCAACTCGGAGAAGGCGACAAACTCTGGCCGCCGATAGGAATCTGCAATCTACCTCCACGTAATTAGAGGATGACCTCAACGCTGTTCGTGAGCGGTGCAGGGTAGCCTACTGCAATGGAGTGCTTCGACAGGTGATGGGGCGTGCAGTCTACAACCTCAATCGACTGGATATATACAAGGCATGGTAGATCATTGGTATATAAGACCAGTCTAACTAAACAGAGCATGAAGTGACTTGGAGGGCAGGTTGTGACTGAATTGTAGAGCAGATATTTCTTAAAATAGTGGCGGTGATGGCAGCGACGATACCAATGCTGATGGTGATGATCATGATGAAGTACCTCTCTGGAGCACCAGTTTTAGATTTTAGATCTATTCTAGTCAGTTTTGTATAGAGATTATTGAGGTGTAGTATGTTAGTAATTTAGTTTGATGACATTGTAAATTTATTTAGCTATTCAATTAAAAAAAACTAAAAACTCTCATTTTTACACAGTTTTAACTGAGATACACTTTTGCAGGCTTACATTTGCCAAGGTGATGCTTTCATGGCTATGGACAAGATTAATGCTGCCAGGAATTCCTATTCAGTCGCTTTAGATCTGGATCCCTCCATCCGTCATTCCAAATCATATATGGTGCGTATTTAGTTGTCTACATCGATGACTTATGTGAGGCCATTAAGCTCTCCTAATTTACATCTGATTTTATCTGGTACATCTATGCTTTAGTTTTTCTTTGATTCCAATATGCACAAAATTAGAAATCCCTATCTTATTTTATGGTACAAGTCTAAAGTTTTCCAGAGATTCTTCACATTTCAAAATCCTGGAGAGCATTTGTATTTTTTTCCATTTGCTAATGTGACTTGGATACATCTAGTGCACCTGGCAACACATCTAACTAATGCTACATCAGAACAAAAAAAAATGATCAATAGTTATGAATTTAATTTTCTTATATTACATGTTCTCAATATTTTAATGTTATAACCATACTCCTCCAAAGACAGTACTTGGTATTGGACACTAATTCGGTTTGGTTTGATGGTGCTGTGTTTTTACACAAATGCTTGCAGTTCATTAGGATTGAGAAGCTGTTCCGTTCACCTGATCTGAATGTTTCTGATCTGAATTTTTTAAGTTCTGATCTGATCTGATCTGAATTTTTCTGATTTGATCTGATCTGAATCTTTCTGATATGATCTGATCTGATCTGAATCTTTCTGATCTGATCTGAATGTTGCTGAACTGATCTGAATGTTACTGATTTGATCTGATCTGATCTGAATGTTTCTGATCTGATCTGAATTCTTCTGATCTGAATCTTTCTAATCTGATTTGAATATTTCTATAATTATAATTATAATTATAATTATTAGATTTATAATTGTAATTAAAAATATAACTTAAGTAAAATTACAATTATAATCATAACTATAAAAAAATAATAATTAAAATTAAATTTAAAATTATAATAATTATACTAATTACACTAATTATAAGTACAAATACAATTATAAATGTAATTATATTTTTAATTATGATTAATTTTATAATTATTATTGTAATTATAATTATAATATTTATTTCTATAATCATAATTATATCTGTAATTACTAATTTAAATATATAATTACTCCGAAGTAATAATAATTACAACAATAACAACAAGAAGAACAATCATATTAATAATAATGATGATTATAATTATAATTACATTGTAAATCATAATTATAATTATAATTATAAATATATTATATTATATTATATTATATTATATTATATTATATTATATTATATTATATTATATTATATTATATTATATTATATTATATTATATTATATTATATTATATTATATTATATTATATTATATTATATTATATTATATTATATTATATTATATTATATTATATTACATTACATTACATTACATTACATTACATTACATTACATTACATTACATTACATTACATTACATTACATTACATTACATTACATTACATTACATTACATTATATTATATTATATTATATTATATTATATTATATTATATTATATTATATTATAATAATAATTTTATATTATTAACATTATTATTATTATATTATTAATAATATTATTATATTAATATATTAATATTATTAACAATAATTATAATATAATAATCATAATTAATATATTAATAAAATTGATAAATCGTGTTTGAATTTTTTGATCTGATCTGATCTGAATGTTTCTGATCTGATCTGAATGTTTCTGATATGGTTTGATCTGGTCTGAATCTTTCTGATCTGATCTGAATGTTGCTGATCTGATCTGAATCTTTCTGATCTGATCTGAATGTTTCTGATCTGATCTGATCTGAATCTTTCTGATCTGATCTGATCTGATCTGAATAAAATAAGATTAAGGAATAAGTAATAAGATTAAGACGAACGGAACAGCTTCTGAGTCTCTGACAGACTATTCATTGTGTACTTTAGCTAACCCGAGGCACATATTTCTTTTTTAAATGCATTCCACAACAGAATGAATTATACTACGGAGTAATAAATTGTCAAAAGTCTGAACTTCACATTTGACTTAAATAGTAGTAATGTGCCAGATTGCCTCGATATGTATTACTCTCTACATCTTTCCTTTGCAGTCCATCTCACTAAAATTATCTCGTACAGTCGTACCAAATTTGGTAAATCCACGTAAATCCACTTTTCTTAATAATCACACTAGCTCCTCATGCCCCAATGCTTTATTATTCCTATTAAATCATTGGCACCTTTTTTTATGTTCAGATTCGGATTGCTAAGCTCAAGGAGAAATATGCCTAATGGGTGCAACAGACCGCTCCAACATAGATTGGTACTTTTTTGAAGTACGGAACGATCGGATCAGTATATATAAGTGCTACTAAACATCACATTGTCTTCAAAAGGATTGTTTACTACTCAGTTGCCAACTATTATAGTGTACAAAAAAGGCGCTCATTTTTGCCAATATAAGAGCAATTAAACTAGTTGGCCATGCCTTCAAGTTCATTCCTCTTTCCTTTGGTTAATTGACCTGCCTCTAACTACATTACTACATCAATGGTCATAAATAGAGTTTTGCTTAAGTAGTACGATAGTCTGTGAGATGAAATTAGTGAGGTCCACATGGAAAGATTTCAAACTTCTTGAACCTCTCCAACAGCCCTTTGCCACTGCCATTGTTCCCATGTTGAACGATTTTTTTCTTGACACCAGCGAAATTACCACCAGCTGACCCACCACTGCTACTAAACCAAGCAGCCGAAGAAGAGGAAGAGGATGAAGAAGAAGAAGAAGAAGAAGCAAAGACTCCATCATGGACTTGAAAACAGCACCCTTTAAAGCCTTTCACCTTCTTTCCGCTGTTGTTCCTCTTCTTCTCTACTTCATCATGCTTGACCAGCTGCTCATAATACTCCCTATTCCTCTTCTCCAGCCCTTGTATCTGCCCTTGAAGCTCCTCCAGCTTCCGGCTGAGCACAAAAACCCTGTGGTCCTCCCTCATTTTCAACAGGCACCTTGCCAGGTCAGCTGCCTTCCTCTTCATGAAAGTAGTCTCGGATGCCAGCCCTTGGTTCTCCTCCACCAACTCAGAGACCTGGTACCCGAGCCTAGCGTTCTCGTTCAGTAAAATCAACCTCTCGGCCTCAAGCACATCCAGCAGGCTCCTCTGCAACTCCATCTTCCTAGACGACTCCACCCCGCGTCTCTCCAACTGCTCCAGCTCATGAAGGATCATGTCACACTCAACCGTTTTCATCACTAAGTCAGCAATGATCATATCTGGGTCCCCAGCTTTTGCTTGATGGTGATGGAACTGGCCCAGTGGTGGTTGATAAGATAGAGAGCTCTCGGCATCATCAGATGAATCAATGGCATTGTCTCCCCCCCGGTCGAGATCTTGGTGGATGTCGGCAAAGTGAATGGACAGAGCGGAGTGGTGGTGGTGAGTCTTCGACAGTGACTGGCAGTAACGGTCAGCCAGGGATAGGTAACTATTGTACAAATCTTGGAGCAAAGCAATTAGCTGAGGACGTTGCTGGTAGTAGCAGTCTGCACGTTTTGCAAAACTGTCATCTGCACTATCACTGCCTTCCCCTGTCAAGTTCAACCCCAACAGCTTCATCCTCTCATCCAAATCTAGCCATACAAAAAAGAAGAAGAGAATGTTCAGTAAATGCATTGGAGTGATTAAAGGCAGGATAGTCACAGATAAACAGCTTGCTATGGGGAATTACTACTGTGTAGAGACTCGTCTAATCTATATTTTTTAGTAGTATTTGTTTTAGTATCAACTCAATAAGAAATTTTAGAAAAACAGAATCAATATTTTTTGGGTGTTACACTCTTTGCACTCTTTAATTATTACTTCTACCAAAAACCATACTACCTCAGTTCTCAGTTCTAACTAATTGCAAAATGTTGAATTCTACATTATTCACATGCTCTACTTTGACTAGATTTTATCTATTCAATCATATCAATCATCATTTACCCTAGTGCCTCAAAGGCTCCCACCTACGGTGGGGTAATGGGGGGTCGGATGTACGCAGTCTTACCCCTGCACTAAAGCACAGAGAGACTGTTTCCGGATGACCCATAATGAAAATCACGTCCAAAATTGCATGAACTGACTGCTGCTTCATAACAAAGAAGAGCAAACATTTTGTTGAGCCGTTTTGCTTTATTCCATCATATTCTCAAGCCAAAAAATAATGAATCTTTGGCTCCATTGCAAATGATGGAAATACTAGATTTTATCTATTAATGTGTTAGAAATATTTTTTTGAAAGTATTGTTATATTCTTGTCATTTTGAAATTTCAAAATATGATTTTTAAAGCTTTTTATTAGTAACTTCCTCCATCTACTTGAATTTCTATTGTTTACTAGAAAAAGTCACTTTTTAATTTTTATTCTTACCTTTGCTAATTTATCATTAGCTTTTATGCTGTGAAACCATTGTTGATGTGACTAAAATCCAATTTGAAAGACAATTGGGAGGCAATTGATCCAAGTTGAAGAATCATGAGTGCCACGCATGGACCTAGTCTGGCCCAGGCCAGAGTCGGGTACGGTATTGCTTGGGAATGGACCAAGTCTGTTTTACCGTCCTGAGTCAAGACCGGTTACCCGACCAGGTAGTAGGGGTACCCAATCCTGCTTAGTGTATTTTAGGACCGAATCGGGCGATCCCGGACTAGACTTGGACCCATTCCATGCCTAATGAGTGGTGTCATTTACTACTATAATATGAAGTACGAACAATAACCCATGGGTACATTCTCCCCTATATTTTACTTTGAAAACTTATCATCTAATCAATAGATGTTACTACTTACTAGTATGTTTTTGGACGAAACATATGTATATACATATAATTTGTTTTTTGAAAGAGATAATATGTATAAACTTATCTTTCATGTTTTTAGTATGTAGTCACTAACTATAAAATTGGTTTGCAAAATGTTACTAGTAGCATGAACAAGAAATAAAAAATGATGTAGTCAAATTTTACGTAGAAAATAAACAAAAGTGATATTCTAAAAGAAGAAACACAGAACTTTGTAGGAATATCTTTGATGTTTTTTGTTTGAACTTCATAAGCTATTATAGTATTGCTACTGGACCACAAGATAATTGACTTGGCACACATGATTTTATTATTGATGATATGGTCAAAAAATAGAACGCTTGGGCCTATGTCATGCCACGTTAGGTGACAGAGAAAGCAATGGTAGTCGGTGACATTGAAATCTTTAGCAGTTTGAAATTTAAGGCCAAATCTGCTCAAGTGCTGACTAATTTATTTCGTCCCACTCAGAGCGAATATGTAAAATAAACAGAAAAAAAGGTGACTAATGATAGGTCGGTGCCGGGAAGAACATAATTAAAATCTCAAGAGAGGGTATGAAACCACAAATTCAATCATCATGGATGGATTGGTGTATTTTGGTGGAATAAAAGTGTGTTCTCGGTCCTCACTTTTGTAATATGGAATAACATGATAAATCGAAACAAAAATGCTACTTGTGCACTTGACTTGCACGCTCGGTTCCACGTTTAAGTGTATTTTGTCTGGATACAAATAATTGATTTCCAGACATAATAAATGTTTGTGATCACAAATTGTATGTGCACCAAACATTTCAGCTTTTTGGGATCACAAACAGTTCCCTTTACTAAAAATGAAATCAATTGTCTATACACAGACAATAGATAGAGAGCATATATGACTCCATCCATCTAACAGTTTCATCCTGCCTTATATACCCTCCCCAGCTACTCGATCAAATTAGTTTGGGCAAATGATTGGGCGATTTAAAAGTTGCTCCAAAACGAGGCACACAAACTAGGAACACACCATTCATAAGACAAAACATGGTCGGCCATCTTGCAAAATTATTGAAACCTTTTTGGCATTTTATCACTAGACTTCTATGGATAGAGCATATAAAAGCATACAATAATTGAGTGTTCATGTTTGGATTCTTGTGGGCATCTACACTTATAGTCTGTGGAACGTGACCCACCAAAGGAACCAAATATATCGAAATTTGTGTTCATATCTTTGACACAATTGAGCTTTTTATTAACCCTTAATATTTTGAGAAAATTATCTCTAAAATAAAAGCAGTTAAAAGCAAAATTATCTTCAAGATTGAATTGTTAGTTGAAATTTGGTATGAGTGAACCAGACTTAATAAATAAGATGCTCAAAACATTTCATAAAAAAATTTCACCGGGAACTGCCCCAAATGACGACGGTCGGACAGAGCCTCCTATATAAGGGCTTATTTGACCTTTTTATGTAAGTTCGAAGGTCTATTTGACATTTTCCCCTAAAATTTATTATTCCATTTTCGAAACAAACCATAAGTCAAGGACTGATGTGCCTTGTCCTGATTATGAGCACAATAACGTGTTGCAGCTGCGCGTCAGAAAAATAAGAGATGGAACAACTGTTCAAAGTAAGGCATTTACGCAACGTACTTTTTTGGTGTTTTCGTTTTCTCTCTTTTTATTTTAGATTCAAATTTTGAAAACCCAAGTATAAAGTTACTGCTGGCAGTGTGCTATGGGCGAAAGAGATTTTACATAAGTAGGAGTAAAAGATACTACAGGCTGTTTTTTACTTTTTAGCGTAGCATAGCTTTACTGTGTCCCGATATTACAAAGGCAAGGAAGAAAGCGACCCTTCGTCTCTCTTTGATTCCATACGATCTCCCATTCAATGTATGTGTGTACCATTGTATGGCATGTAAGATTTTTTACAGTCAATTCCCTTTTGGTTACATTATTTTTTTGTCTATCAAGCTTTTTATTAAGATTATTTTATCAAGTACACTATAACTTTTCATTTCGGAATTGTTTCACATTAAGAGTCCATTTGATAAAACTGAAATTGACTGAATCAACTTATTCTATTGAAAATTATGAATTTCTGGCTGAACTGATTGGATGAGCCCATTATGCTAATTTATATAAAAAAAAACTAGTAAAATAAAAAAAATATACTTCGTATATAAAAATATGGAGTAGCTAAAATGATTTTTTTTACATTCTTCTAAACATATTATAGTATCTATTCTAGAGCTAAAATGATTCTATACAGTAACTTTAGCAAATAGAATCACAAAACTAACCTTAATCTTATGTTTTTTATTACATAATTCAGGACACGAAATCAAAAGTCACACGTTTGAAAAAAATTAGACTGATTAACCAAAAAACATGATCACCAAATGGACTCTAAATGTTACTCTTATTGGCAAAAAATTTACCACAAAAGAAGATAAAATATAGAAAAACAAGAAATAAAGATAGAAAAATAAGTTGAATCACAGATTCACTCCTTTAAAAGCAAAGTGACAATTGTTTTTAGACAAACAAAACATGAAAGTTGGGCAAGTCTAATGGGATGTATGGGATATTAATTTTTGAAACTCTAAAACATTTCCTCAAAAAAAAACTCTAAAACATTAATTATCTGACAGAGTAAAAATATTGTGTTTAGAGTTTTGAATAAAGTTCTATATATTAATTATTTTTTCTGATACTTGGTATATCATTAAAAAATAGTATTCTATCCGTCTCATTTTACTTGTCCTAATTTCCTTTTGGGAAAAGGTGCAAATAGGCCCATGTACTAACAAAAAAAGGTCAAATAAGCCCTTTTTTGGGAGGCTTTGTCCGGCCGTCATCATTTGGGGTGGTTCCCGGTAGAATTTTTTGATGAAATTTTTTGAGCATCTTATTCATCAAGTCTAGTTTACTCATACCAAATTTCAACTAAAACGTCAATCGGGAAGGCATTCAAATGAATTCTTGAAGATAACTGCGCTTCTAACTGCGCAGTTATTTTCAAGAATTCATTTGAATGCCTTCCCGATTGAAGTTTTAGCTGAAATTTGGTATGAGTAAACTAGACCTGATGAATAAGATGCTCAAAAAATTTCATCAAAAAATTCCACCGGGAACCACCCCAAATGGCGATGACCGGACAGAGCCTCCTAAATAAGGGCTTATTTGACCTTTTATGGTTAGTACATGGGCCTATTTGCACCTTTTCCCTTTCCTTTTTGTTTTGTTCCAAAATATGTGATATACAATATTTAGTTTTATTATACTCAAATTTCAATCATAACTTTTACTTTTTTGAATGTTTTATTAATAATGGTGTTAAATGAAAGTAAGACCGACACATAATCATGCATTTCAAATTCTTGAAACTTTACCTGAGACGTGTTACAACTTTTATGCCCTTAACTTCGACTCAAAATAAATTGGTTGAGAACATTCACTCAAAATAATGGAGCTAGTTGTACACTTTTTGTGTACACGTGTCTGTCACCGCAATCCAAGTTGTCTGTCGACAGATAAAAGTTGGACAGACAAGTGTACAACTTTTGTATACACAAAAAGTGTATAACTTTTGTTTATACCAGACATGTTTCCTAAATGAATACTGAGTATAGCTAGTTTTATTGTGGTACACACTAATTTCCGCATGGCTATACCACACATGCACCACCAACTGACAAACATGAAAAATACAGTACTATACTTGTATACTTGTTGGACAAATATTCCGCATGAAATATAAACAATCTACTTCGATCTTTTTGGTACGAACGTCAAATATAAACACATGAAAAATACAGTACTACTTTGGACACCTTTTTTCACATGAAAAATTCGCATCATTAGTTTCATTATTTTTCCAGGGCCGGTCCTGATATAGGGGCAGGATGGGCGGCTGCCCAGGGCCCACCAGGAAGAAGGGCCCATAAATTATTTAGGAGTAATATATATATTGAGTTCTCGTTCACCTCGGGCCCACAAATCTATTTGAGACGCTTTCGGATGAAATTGTTTGATGAAAGTTTGTGAGTATGTTTTTCATTAAGTGTAGATTAGGTCAAAAAAATGTCAAATCAAAATTCAATTGGAAAATCTGTTAAATAAATTATTGAAAAACAGTGTGCTTTATGTATGTTTAAATATCGCAATGTTTTTTTTTAATAATTTATTTAACTAACTTCTTAATTGAATTAGAAATTGAAATTTTATGTAAATAATCTAATCTTTATGAAGAACATGCCTACAAAATTTTATCAAAAAAATTTGACCAGATCATTTTGTCAAGTGCGCCTGACCAAATCATTTCCTTATACTCTAAATCTCTAATACTCCGTAAAAGATACCCCTCAATCCTCATATCCGTAGACTGAGCCACAACGACAGAACTACACACGAAACACAACTAGATGACTTTCTACCTTCCTCACAAAAGCCGAGAATTTAAAATTAAAATGTTCTTTTAACAATGCCTAAAGAATTGTTTTGTATGGCTTATGATACCAAGTATTTTTAGGAACAAAAACATTTACTTGTGTAATGAATTTTATTTTTGACTTGAAGCTTTTGTAATACATTTCTATAATATACGGAATATATAATTAGGAGCCTATTTTTAGTCTTTTGTCCCGGGCCTATAAATTGTCAGGACCGGCCCTGTATTTTTCTGATGCTCCAAAATTAAGATTTTTGGGTTCTTGATTTTTTGCACTACACAACCCCTTTGATCAAAAGATGCAAAACGTATGGTTCCATACCCTACATAAATGCTAGCCCAGATATGCATTAATGCGTGAGAACTTTTAATAATTTTCTATTTTTTGATAATTAATTATTTTCAATTTTAAAGTTCCATTCCAAGTGATTCAAAACAGATTAAAGCATTTCCTAAATTACGTAGTACTGAGTATTAAACTTCCTGCTCACACTCAATTATTTGATTGCTATTAATAGCAGTGAAAGGTCAACCATTTAAAAACCATTTCAAAAAAATAACTTTGGAAATAGAAAATACACTAATTAACAAGTGGAAAAAACATAAAAGGGGAGTTTTATATGTACCTGCAACAGAGCAAAGAAGCCAAGAAGGTTTTCCAAAGCTTCCCCTTCTTGAGAGATTTGAAGAAGAATAAGCATCATAAGAAACCTCCATCCTACTGCACCCTTCCTCATGTCCTTTTATTTTAGTCTCCATTCTACCTGACCAAACAGGACCTACCCAATTAAATCCCCAAACAACGGAAAAACATTCATTAAATACACTTCTATTTGTCAACAATAACAATATATCTGAACAGTTCATTTTATCCTTTCTTCTTAAAATGACACTACTAAAAAAGAACTTCTGAAGCTAAATGGAGATATTAAAAAAAAAATCTAAATGGTGTAAATAGTTTTAATTCAAGCCATTGCGTTTTGTTTGACCTCTTCTTCTTTTTCTTCTAAAACTATATGGGATAAAGAGGCCATTTGGTAATAATGTTTTTCGGCTTATCAACCAACTTTTTCAAACACGTAACTTTTGTTTTCGCGCGCTGAATTGTGTAATAATAAGAAAAAAATATGGTTGAAGTTACTTTTCTAACTATATTGGCTTAAGTTATTATAGATGACCATTTTAATTATTTTTACATATAATTTTTTCATTATTTTACTAATCAAATACGTAGTACTTCGTATATATATTTTTTTAAAATCGTGTTAGGGCTCAAAACAAGTGCCATTTGTCAAGACGTGGAGCAGAGTAGAGAGTCTCGTTAGTCTGCAAAGTATTTTGCCTTTACAAACAGTAATAAATGGTTTTTCATATGTGCAGGCGTTCTAAAAAGAAATATATAATGGTAATAATAGCAATAAATCAACAATAAATATCGTGTTGGGACATAAATTTTGCAGATAGATCAAGTGCGACAGAACGGTATAATTAATACAGTACAATATATTGAATTGAAGTACAAGGGAAGCCACACATCTTTTTATAATTATTTATGTGACTAAACTTTAACAATTTGTCTTATTGAACATAATTAAAAAAAATCCATTTCATTTTAAAAAGTAATTTTAAAAAGTAATTTGCCTTTGACATACTAGTAATATTTAATATAAAAAGAACGACATGTATAGTAAATAGTGTACATAAAATAGAAAATAATATGAAACGTATGAAAGAAAAGATAATAAATATAGTGTAAAATGTATCAGTTGAACAAAAAATAAATTAGAAAATGACAATGTAGCTTTTCACATATACGAGTATTAGAAAAAATAGTACTCCGTATCACTGTATCAGTAATGATGGGTGAAGTATAAAATGAATGAATGGCCAGGGGACTTGAACAAATTAGATACGGAGTATAAAAATTAAAATGTGAAATAGAATACTCCGTATGTAAACGTAAAGTAAGCAAGAAAAAAAAGAAATAAAACATAATCCGTTTAATAAAAGTCTTGCTAAAAAGTACGAATCATCTCTCCAAGAGCGTAAATCCAATGTTCTTATGTCAAAAACTTGTTTTGGTGTAAAACACCTGAAGTAAATTAAATTAAAACTGTTTAATTTTCTCTCAAAAAAAGATGAAGAAAAAAACTCAACCGGGAAAAGTGTTGGATCATCGATTCACTATACTTGAACTCAGAAGCCCCTTCAGCAATTTCCAGCCTTCGGGTAAGGAAAAGTGTTTGCAGAAGGAAAGGATTCTTAGGGGAAGATCTTCCTTACTTTTCCTTTTAATTGTTGCTTTCCTTTTTAAGGCAAGAAAAACCCAAACTGAGATGAATAAAAAAATTCTTCTAAACCACAAGCTTAACAATTCTGAATCCCAGGCCCCTCCCAAACACGATATTAAAACAGATAAAATGGGGATGGTTCTTTAATTTTTTGTGCACAGAGATGTAGAGAAAAGAGTGATGAAAAGCTGTGTTACCTACATAATGCAGCGCAGCAGTGTAATGAGATGGATGATGAGAGAAAAAGTAAAGGTGGTGTGGGAAGTGCAGTTCTTCTTTTAATCTATTTTCTGGGTGTGAATCCCATTTCAGTACCTTTTAGTTGAAGGTCTGGCGGAGAGGGAAAGGGGAGGAGGCGGCAGGGAAAAGCTGGTCAACATGAATTCCGTCGCATTGACTTATATGCTCTCCATATATCATAGTGTAAAAGCCTAAATACTCGAGTAATAGGTTAATAACCCTCATCATCACCTCTCCCTTACAATATTTTCTTTTGGACGGTTTTCAGTTCCAAACCAGATCAGGCCAGACCTGAGTTCAGTAGTTATAAAATACACAGAGACCAGACGTTTACCAAACCAGAACAGACCAACAAATTTCAATCCAAAAGAATACATCCTTACTACTAGTAGCCCACTACCCCTCCCATTTTCGGGAGAAGTAAGAAATTAGTGCACTTATTAAGAAAAAATAAAACCACACAAATTTTTTAATATAGTTAAACCAATAAATATATTAAATCAATAAATTATTCGTCACATGGCTAATAATAGAATCCAATAAAAAGCAGGAAACAAAACGATAAAAAACCTTATGTCTGCCGTCCGCCCTCGAACTAAACTTAGAATCCATCATCTCTGTAGAAGCAATACTATTCGTTGATCATGTAATGGGCTTAACTGAGCCAATGACAGGAAAACCAGACTTCTCATCACCTGACTTAAATTCTAGAATCTCTCTGCCAGGAAATAAGAATACATCCAAAACAATATGCAATTCGAAAGAAAAACACAAACAGAATAAAACGGAATTAAAATAGAGTTCACTCATCTTCTTCCAGACCCTAGAGTCGCTTGCACTCCATGGCGGAGGCTCAGGAGGGGGACACGCCCGCCGCTCATCCGCCTCAATAGCCATGCTTTTGTGTTGATTGACGATATCCTCCATTGATATCTCTTGCTGCTGAATCGAAACCAAGCTCTGCCACAGCTTATTCACTTTTTCTTGGTCAACACTCGACCTTCGACCATAAACAACAGCAGAAGTCGAGCCCTGACCGCCAAAACACTGCATCACTGATCCTGAGTTTGCTTGCACGACCGAAATTGACCGACTGCCGCTCTTCGTCGATGACGAAAGCGGAAGAACGAAACCCTAACTCGTAGGGAGATGACCGCTAGAGAGAGAGAGTAATTCGATTATAACTTTTGGTTTTCACTTAGCTTCAAAAACCACACAAACTTTGGCAAAATTGGGTATGACACAAATTCAAAACATGTTTGGTAGACATAAATCCTTATATTCTAGTTGAGAAAACAGTCTCATATGGGACGTCTCGAGTTCAAAACTTGGAGGGAGGTTCTGTCCTGTTTACCGCAAGATCCCCAAGCCCCACCCCCCCTAACCCCCGGGTTTAAAAAAGGTTCCTATCCTATAGTGTTTGTAATATTTAAAAAGTAATTAAAAGATTCACGTTCTATGTTCGGTGGGACAATTTAAAGAAATTTTATTTAAAATAAAAGATCTTTTTTGAAAAGTTTCATTGAGTACCATCTAAGAAAAGCCTTTAATTTTTAGCATTAACTATTCAAAACAATTTGTGTACCAAACATAATTACTTTTTTCTTCTAAAACATTTTTAGTCAATAAAAGTCTAAAACTAGCAGTTACTAAAAAAAATTAATAATGTTTTTAGCTAGGTGTGCTAAACATACGCTTAAGATGTTTTTACTTGGACTGTAATTTGCTGGTCTGGTCTGGTCTGGTCTGAATTGGTCTGGTCTGGTAATATCTGGTTTCTTTGTATTTTTATAATTATCCAAGTCTGGTCTGGTCTGGTCTGGTCTGAACTGGTCTGGTCTGGTCTGGGGCAAATTACAGTCCAAGCAAAAACATCCTTAGTAGGACAAATAGAAAGAAAAGATAAGAAAATTTTAGCAGGGTGAAGATACTTGTTACCAACACTAAAATTGGGTAAGGTTGTACTTGAATTATCTCATTGATATTTAAAATATGCTTTATTTGCTAAAAAATAAGAAACTATTATTTCTTCCATCTCATTGGACTTTACAAACTTTCTTTTTTAGTTATCCCAAAAAACATACGACTTTCCATTTGAAATAAAGAATTTATGATTTTTTTATTTCTCCATCATCTACACAAACTTCAACCACACACGTTTTTATTATTCTTATTTCACACTAAACATAAATTTGGAAATGCCCAATAGGACGGAGGCAATACAAAAAAAGTTGTTCTCTTAAACAAGTTGAAACTACTCATTAAAAGTTTTTGTTAGGTCCCCTAGATTTTGATGATTTATATGTTTTTTGTTTTGATGATGTCACTCCCTTTTATTATCCCTGTATTAGACCAATATCTCTTGTACTTGTTCTACTTATGCTTATTGTAATGTGCTATCATTAGTGGTTAAGTATTCATAAAAAGAAAAGAGTACTAAAAGAGAAGAAACGTACCAAAAACAAAAACGAAAAAGAATAAAAAAGAAAAGGTTCGAAAAAGAATTAACTAGAATTCATTGATGACGGAAGCCACTAGAAAAACCAGAATTCAGCAGCCTACTGAAACATTGCAGTCGGCTGAAATACTGATTTTCCAGTTAAGGCATCTGAAATCAACTAACTTTTCTCTTAGCACAAAATCAATTAAACAAAGGACCAACTTGCAGTCAAAATAACAAATTGATAGAAAATAATTTTATGAGAGATTTTTATCACATTATAAATTTCTTATAAAATTACTTGGAAAAATTGACAAAAATAATCCCACCTTTCGCTGGTCTTCTCATAATAATCCCACCTTTAGGTAATCCCAGAATAATCCTACATTTGCACCCTATCTTCTTTTATTGGACCCTGGCCATGTTTTTTACTCTTTTTTTGAAAATCATATAAATAATCTCACCTTTCACTTTTCTATTATATTTTTATAAATGTGAGATTATTTATATAAGATTTTTAAACAGAGGATAAAAAATTGGTCAGGGTCCAATGAAAGAAGATGGGGTGCAAAGGTGAGATTATTTTGGGATTATGTAAAGGTAGGATTATTATAAGAAGACCGGTGAAATGTGAGATTATTCTTGTCAATTTTTCCAAATTACTTTACTAAAAGCAAGTAATTGTTATTTGTAAGGAAACATTGAACAAACACTCAACTTAAATACTAAGTCTCGACGGGCAAAAGAAATAAAAGATAAATCCATCTTTATCTTTGCCTTGAGATGAGGAATCAAGTTGTGTGTAAAGATTTGACCCGTGTCACAAAAAAACAAAGACCAAACCATGCCGCCTCAGTCAAGTGGAACAAGCAAGTAGATCAAGCAACGGTCAAGATTGAGCTCCTCAGCCAACAGTGGAGATTAAAAAACAAGTCTATAAATACAGAAGGAGTGCAGAAAGAAACATGTGAAAGAGCCAAGTAGAATAGAAGGGAATCAAGATTCACACGAAGACATTTCAGCCAGTTGATTCTCCTTCACCACTTCGGTTCTCACCCCACTCATCTAATGTTCTTAGAATAGCTATAATTCATACAAACCTATAGAGCTTAGATTAGTTGGTGGTTTAGTTTCCACCCATGTAAACTAGACTAGAGTTAGACATTCTGGAGGGCTTTGTGTTCAAATCCAGAAGGTGAGAATGGCAAGGACATGAGTAGCTCTTGGCAAGTCAATGTCATTAGTGAAAAACCTTGGAGGATTGAATAGCTTGGAATGTTGTTCAAATTCCTTGTGAAAAAAAACTCACAATCTACGCCCCGGGCCAAGGGTAGATTGGGCACTAAATGTAATGGGATATTCATTTAGTGGAAATCCATCTGAAAGAGGTTGGAACTGGATGTAGGAGGATTACATCACCTCTGAACCAGAATATATCTTGTGTCACCTTTTATATTCAGCTCCCAATACACACTACAGTTCTCACTCACCTTCACAACTTCACAGCAAAACAACTTGCTCACAAAAACTGTCCAATGAACCTTCCAGTTCACTGTGAATCAACTCTTTGTTTCTGTTCATCAAAGTGATCTATTTCTATAGGTCTAAATCCTTCATAGTTATGTGTTAAGACTTGTTTTAATGCCTATCAATGTGTTAGAGTATAGTTCATTGCTATACGTTATCCTTTGAAGCAGTACCCTCATTTCGGCAGCCTGCTCCTAAAAGATTTGGCAGTCAGCTCCCATTAATCTTGCAGCCAACTCCTTCAAGTTTGGCAGCCTGCTCCTTGAGTCATCTGATTCTGGAAAACACATTTGAACCTTGTTTCATCCATCTCCTCACACCCAAAAGGGTCATAAGCTTTGTTACTATAAAGTGTCACACTCTTGAGGTCAAGACTTCCGCTGTATGTTTCAATATCTCCTAAAAGATATTGGAACTCATTCTGTTAGAGGAAAAAGGGTTGAAAAATGAAAAGATTTAAGTCTATCCCCCCCTAGACTTTTACCTCACTTGGGACCCATAAATTTTGACGAGAGTTTTCCTTATATTATTGTGTACTATATCTGAAAGAATCCTTGCTACTTCTTCAGGTAATCAGACCACAGACATAAAAAAGTGGGGGTTGCTATTAGATGTGCAAATCCGGAGATCAATATCTCAAGGGATGTTTTTACAGGTTATCAACACTCAATCTTTTTCTCGTGAGGGAGTTTATAGCGATTCATTTTTGCATATTGAAGGGACGAATTTGTGGGTCATGTTTTTGAGAACGAGAGGAGAGTTCCTATTTCATTGTGGGAAGATGTATGTGACTCTGATGCAAATTAAACAACAAAATTTGTGATAAAGCTCTATCAGTCACGAGAGAAAATTGCTTGAATACAGAAAATTTAAACACTCAAATCAAAATATACTGGAAGAAGAATCAACACTCCCGTTTTATAAGTACTAGATCTCAAACGCGAACGAATTTTTGAATGCTTAAATGACTTTCTGAATTTAACTGTACTATGGAGAGACTTGTTGTATTTTGGATTGGGTATACTCACTTTTCTTTTTAGTATGTCCTTTTTTCTTTTTCTTCTCTATAATTTCTTTTGCTCTTTCTTTTGTAGAATTTTTATTTTGCTTTTAAAACATTACGTTGTACTATATTGAAGGTTAATTTCACAAATGTGATATGAATGAAACTATCACTTTATTATGGCAATGATAATTTTATATGTAACTTTTGATTTATTATATAATATTACTTATTGTTGATGCCATTGT